CACCACATGTGTGGGGATACCTATGTTCGTTGGCCAAGCAGGGGCAGCTGAGAGCAATCATTGGCGGCCCACCTTGTCGGACAACTTCCAGGCTTCGCAACAAGGGACCACCTGGCCCACGCCGAGTTCGGGGTAGAGGACCGGAGAGGTGGGGGGTTCAACAGAGGACAGAACAGGAGGCACAACTCACAGACAATGACTCGGCCTTGGTGCTCAAGCAAGTTGCTCTCTGGAAGATGTCTGAGCAGAGTCCGAAGAAGAAGGTCAGGACGGGGTTTCTGTTGGAAAGCCCACAGGATCCGGCCACCTACTTGAACACCACGGAGGGTCAGGAGTCGCCATCGTTTTTTGAGTGGCCTCAACTACAGCAACTACTTGAGGAAGATGAGAACATGAAAATGGTGTGTAGAAGGAAGCCCACGGGACTATTGACCAACTTGCCAATGATGGAGCAACTGGAGTTTTGCAAAGGAGGTGGAACAACAAATCCAGTTTGTGGAGACTTGAGTCAACGCATAGCAACATCAAGGAGCTGGTCGGAATGGTCCACGGGCCTAGTAAGGGCGATCCAGTATTCGCTCAAGGAGATGCTCAAAGATGATGAAGAAACAGTTCAGGTGGCGAAGTTCAACTTGGATGAATGGCGTAGACACGTCAGGATGCAGCATGTGCCGTTCAGGCGCGACTGCCGTGCTTGCATTGAAGCGATGGGGATGCAACACCCTCATCGAAGATCAAAGACGGCATCGGCAGCCTTCACGCTGGCAATCGACATCATGGGTCCGTTCACCTATGGCAAGGACCTAGCAACGGGGAGGATGGCTAAGTATGCCTTGTTGGGCACTGTGCCCATTCCAGTTCCTGACCAACTACCAGGTGCACCTGAGGTGGAGAACTTGGAGGAGGTCGACTTGGGGGGAGGTGATCCTGTGGGAGCCTTTGAGGAAGAAGAAGCTGAAGACCAAGCACCACAGGAGGAAGAAGAAGTTGTGGAGGAGGCAGGGGCCGAGGAAGGTGAGCCGGTGGATCTAGCTGATCGTCAGGCGGTCCAAGAGCTGATGAAGCCTCACAAACTCCAGAACATCACGATGGTTGAGATCCTGGAAGACAGGAGTGTGTCTTCGCTGCTGGCGGGATTGTCTCGACTACATGCACGCTTTCGCTGCCTGGGTGTCAACTTGGTCAGGTTGCATAGCGATAGAGAAAAAGGGCTGCTGTCAAGAAGAGTAGCCACCTGGTGTGGACACAGGCATATGATTCACACCTTCACTCAAGGAGATGATCCCCAGAGCAATGGTCGAGCTGAGGCTGAAGTGCAACAGGTCAAACGTCGACTTAGGCTCATCCTCCATCAGTCCAAGGTGGAACCAGCTTTGTGGCCGGGAGCTATCCGACATGCAGCGGAAGAACGATGTCGTCAACAGCTTCGACACTTGGGAGTGGCAGTTCAACCTATGCATCGATTTGGTGCTCTGGTGGCAGTTCGATCAAAACGATGGCACAAAGCAGGACAGGTGGCAAACCCATTTGCGTCGATGCAGCTGGTTGGCCCTAGCCCTCTGATGACCAATGGCTGGGTTGTGAGAAGGGGGGACAGAGTTCAGCATGTCAGAGCTGCAATTCAACCAGTCCCAGAAGCTGATCAGGCCATCTTGGAGTTGGAGGCGATTGATGCAGAAGAAGTTCGGCATCGCAGAACAGGAAAACAAAGTCTGGATCCTCATCCGTTGGAAGATGTAATTCCCAGACTATGGGTGGTCATCTGCGGAAATCACTTGGCTCGATCTCAAGCGGAAACCAAGGCTGTCAGTCCGCTGGAGGCATCGACTTCAAGTTCACCTTTTGAGCTATATGCAGGTGGAGCAGATGCTACTATGCTCCGAGCACTCCTCAGGAAGAGTGCATTGGAGAAATGGACCACTGCGAGCCTGGACGTGAAGACAGCCTTTTTGCTTGCTCCACGTCGAGACGCTTCTCAAAGATTGCCCCCAAAGGTCTTGATAGAAGCTGGAGTGTGCAAGCAAGGGGAAATATGGGAGGTAAAAAACTCCCTTTACGGCCTCCAAGAAGCCCCAAACAACTGGGCGATCTTTCGGGATGAGGAAATGGCTCGATGCGCCTGGCAAGAACTCAAGAGCCAAACCTATGGAAAGTGGTTCTGGATGCGCCGGAGGAAGCCAACATGCCGGACAAGGTCTATGCCTTTGTGGCCGTATACGTCGATGATATCCTGATCACAGGAGAAGCCAGCGTCACTCAAGCCACAGTTCGACGATTTCAAGAACAGTGGAAATGTTCCTCTCCTGAGTGGCTGAGCCGAGATCATGGTTTGAGATTTTGTGGCTTTGAAATCTCTCAAGAACCTCAAGGAATTCGACTTCACCAGAATGCCTACCTCAAGGATCTCTTGGCCCGGTATTCAGACTTGAAGCATGCGGCAAGTCCACTTCCTGGTAGCCTTGACGACTCTGATGAGCCTGATCCTGATATCCAGGAAGTGCGACGTGCGCAGACCTTGGTGGGAGAGCTGCTTTGGCTGGCGGTTCGGACGAGGGTGGATATAGCCTATGCAGTGTCGTGGCTTGGAAGACATGTGGCTCGCTGCCCGGTGAGGGTTCAGAAGTATGGAGCGCAAGTCCTGGGCTTCTTAAGTGGCACCCCGGAGCATGGTCTTCTGTATTCTCATCACCCCCAAGGAGAACCTGGAGCAGGAGAAAACCGGGGCATTCACATGTACTCGGATGCATCATTTGGTCCTCCCGGTTCACGTGGACACCAGGGATTGATGGCGGTGTATTCTGGAGCTTTGATCCAGTGGGAAAGCAAGCAACAGCCTTTCGGGACCCTTTCGAGTTCGGAATCGGAGCTGATGGCTGTGCGACGTGGCAGTGCTGGAGAGTGGGGATGCAAATGACCACATCGACTGTGTTCTTCATGGTGACTCGCAGTCTGGCATTCGGATTCTACAATCGCCGGCTGGACCGTGGAGAACAAGACACCTGAGGTTGAGGAGCTATGTACTGCGAGAAAGGATTCGCACTGGCTGTTGGCAAGCTCAACACGAACCAGGAGCATCACTGTCGGTGGACCTTCTCACGAAGCCGATTGTCAGCCCTTCTGCTTGGACCCGCTTTCGTGAGTTCACTGGGCTGACGGTGGGAGAAGAGGTGTTGAAGCAGGAGCGGAATGGTCTCGGCGTGAAGAAGCTCATCGGACTTCTGAGTGGGCTGATAGGCATAGCAAGTTGGCAGCCACGTCAACAGCAAGCCAAAGTAGCGAAGTGTCTCACCTTAGCAGCAGTAGTGTCAAGTGTAGCTGTACTGATGGGTAGGAAGGGGGGAGAAGACCTGTCAACATTTGGGGACGCGGCATCGACTCGGACCAAGGCATCCGGAGAGAGCGATGTCGAAACAAGAAAAGACCAAGATGAGGCAAGGGAAGATGAACCTGTCTCCCAACCGGGACGCGACTGTAGCCCTGGGGGCTCCCGCGGACGCGAACTCGGATTGAAGCCATGGATGCAGCCGCCTCCCAAGCTGAGCGCTTTGAAATCGCCGATCACCCATGTAGGCTTGGGCACTGACCTGCCGTGGGAGCTCAACAGATTCCAGACCCACCGACGGGAAACGACAGGTGGGAGTGCCTTGGCGTTGGTTTGGGCGGCGGAGAGTGGTGGGTCAGAGTTTTGAAGAAGTCGAGAGTCAGATCCTTCCATCCACTTCATCGGGGCACACCTATGTCCATAGGGAGGCTCTCGGCAACTTGGGTCACTGTGGCATTTGCTCGGGGTAATCCTCGAGAAGTGTGGAAGAGGACCCTGGTGACGGACGACTGGATAGAGAACAGGAATGCGGATCTGGAGGGACACTATGAGTGGTGTGGATATGCTTTCTTCTATGAAGTTTGGAGCATCGCAAGAGGGAGGCATCGGCACACAGGGCCGGCATGACTTTCAGCCTGGTCCGCTTCCTCCTGCTGGGTCGGTTGCCCCGACTCAAGGCTACGGGGGATCAAATCCAGTGAGTTCAAGGGCGAAGCAACGAGGTCAGAAGGCCTTAGAGCAGAAGAATCACCTGACGGTCGAGGACGGCATCACCTATGATGGGGCGGGAATCAGTGCATGTGACACTGAGTCCATCGAGGGTGGCAAGATGACGGGCTATGACCTTCGTCTGTTTGGGTGTGGCCGACGAGGCGAGGTTGATTTAGATCCTGGTCAGGAGGCAAGAGATCGAGCACATGGGTCTCAGGACCACCTACCGCCTGAAGCTGACCAGCTGCCGGTGTGGATGGGCATCGAAACGCCCGCACTACTTCAACCCGGACATGAAAGTGAACCTGAAGCTGAGTCGGATGATAGTTTTGAACTTGTGACGGAAGGCGGACGAAAAAACCTGCCTGGAAGTCACCAAATGTAATGGCAACGCCATTAGGGGGAGTGTGGCTACGTGCCCTCCCATAAGCTTTCAACAGACATACCAACTTGGCGCTTTGGCTCAAGAAAAGACAGCTTTTGTCCTTTTGAGGATGCTTAGATCCAAATGGGCACAAAAAACCATACTGTGAAAAAATATATAAAAAATATGTATGCATGTGTATTATGTATTATATATATATATGTGATGTGTGTACACAATCAGGTGACAATAAAGTCCTGTTATAAGATTGTACTACCCAGACGCTCCAAACAGCCCTTGGTCCCTCAGGACCTAGGGATTTGTGACCCCAGACCCCTCCATATGAGGGTCCGACCTCTCCATATGAAGGCCCATGAGCGTTTGGGTAGACCCTAGATTTACAGTAGGTGTTTCCGTCTTGGGGATTGTCCAACTCAAAGACTATCTTGCTCTGCGTTTCACAGCTGAGGATCCTTTGGAGAAACTGGCTCCTTCTTTCACCCCTTTGAAATTTCTTGTCTTTTCTTCAAATCCCAAAGACCTCCATGGAAGCCCTCAATGGCTTCATCCCACCTCCGTGGGCCCGGGATGCCGGCCCCCGGCCTGGCCGTCCCCGTCGTAATCCAACCAGGAGAAGAGGTCCTCACCCGCACCAACCGCCGTCATCTCGCTCAGTCGAAGAAATGGGGCAATTGGTTCCAACCGAGGGAAGAGGCTTCCAAACGAGCTTCCATCCTAAGAAACACATTGCTAATTATAGACAGGTTCTCCCTGCTCTTAAATGAGACAAAAAAGAGACACATTCATCTGTATGTCAAAGACTAGGTGACTATAGTCCGCTGCTTCTTTCGCCGTACCTGATGTTGGCCCTCCCATTTTCAGGAATGCAGGGCACACCACACCACAATCGTCAAGATGAATCGACTCATGGATTTTGTATTTTTGTCGTGCATCCAAATCGGCTCCCGGGAGCGTACCGCGTGTTCTCCATCACAGTTGGTGTCTATAATGTAATGTTTAACTTTTAACAGGAACTTGGAATACGTTTAGTTAAACCACAAAATATACTAGCATAGCCAACTGGAAAACATAATTGTCAAACCTATATCTTGCTGAGCGCCTATGGGTCAAAACCCAGAAGCCTGCCCCCAAAACTGTCCATCTGCGGCCATATGGTGTTTTGTATTGAATCACGCATTTTCATGCATTTGCTGCTTTGGGAGGGTGAACGGGTCTGAGGCCAGCTCCCAACTATTTACTCCTGGCTGAAGAATCCTACACTTTACATCCTTTGCGACATCACTTTAAGAACCCACATGGAACCAGACCACCAACGACCGGCACCCGTGTTCCAAAACGTCCAATCAACACCTTGACAATACTCCGAAGAAGTTCATATATGTTCAATATAGTCCACCCTGGGAAACCTGGAATCGAATTCACCCACCTGACCGCTCCGCGAGCGGTGAGCGCGGTCGCTTCTTTCAGCCGCCTTGACGGAGGTTTCGGACTCCAACTCTGCGGGCTGCATGGTAGCACCTCGCTGGTCACCCGCCCGGGTGCTCTGGGTGCGGCATTGACGCAAAGGCAATGGCTGCGGCTGGGGCCATCTGCAACCGTAGCCAGCTACTTGGATGCGTTTTCCTCTCATCCCATCTTGAAAGGCTGCGGCGCGGGTTTCAACAAGAAATGTCCGCCTCCTCATTTCCACCACCCAGCATCTGGCTTCCCTGCGCTTCCTGTTTGGGCTGCCCAGCTCAACCACTCGCTGTAGCTCACGCGCCCATCCTCGCTGGTGTCTAGGCTTCGCCAAGCATCTGGCAGGATGTCATGGAGGCTCTCCACTCGGGAAGGCGCGACGCAGGCACATCCTTCTAGATCCATGAAGGAAGTCTGGGTGGACCAAATCCCGCACCGCCACAGAAGCGTTTGTACATAGTATCCTTGCATTGCATTCCCTCTTTTGTATTATGTACGGGGAATGGAAAAAGATCGTGACCAAAGCCGCCACTTAGACAAGTCCCATCCGCCAACATTGACGAGGGGTGCATTTCGACCAAAAGTGTGACTGCAATCTGCTTGGAGAGGTGGTATGTCATCACTTCTAGCAGGAAGACGCCCAGACCTTCCACCATCTGCTTCTAGAAGAAACCAAAACAACGCGTTTCGCGTTTGTGGGAAAAAAGATGAAAAAAGACAAACACAAAACGATACGTGTCTCCTTTGGGGAGCCTAACCGCGACCTAAGCTACAACCGTGACACGGTCGTCGGTGTTTCCCGTGGCCGTCGGCCCGGTCTCCGATGCCTTGGAGCTCGGCATCCTGAACGCGTCGGTCGTCTGTGGGCTTCGAGTCGTCTTGGCTTTTCTTTCGTGAAACACCAGCTCTCCAGTTCTCTCCAGCGAAGAAGGACATGTAGGTCTGTATAGTCTGTATAGTACTACTACTGTATTATAGTATTGTACATTATTATACTACTGTGGTCAAAAAGGCTATATCCAAATGTCCAAGTTTGGGGGTTGTGTTACTGCTATTGTTCCATCGACATCAACGGGGGTACTTAAAGACATACAGACCATCTTTTCGGAACGAAGACACCACTTGTTTTGATGTATGATGAAAGAATGGGAGATGAATGAAATGGTAATGGGAGATATATGGAAGAATGGGAGATGAATCGAAGTAAGATGGAGTGAGTAGAGAAAGTTGTCACTGTCAGTCAAGAAGACCTATCGTGCACACAAATCGTTTGGTAGAGCAGTCTTTTGCTCACCTTGGGGGAACAGCTTTCCCGCGGTGGCTTACTGAGGGCGGGGATGTTGGTATTTTTCTACCACACTGGGGGGATTGGGAGGTTCATACCCAAGTCCTTTTGATTTGGAGCTAAACTGCAACATGGCACGTCTGTGATTGGAACTCTTCTTTAGATAGAAAGTTCACATGCAGGAAGATGGACACCCTCGTCCAACTGTTCTGTTCTGCTCAAAGTGACAAACCACTGTGTGTTCCTTCCCCTTTTTCTTTCACCCACAAAGAAGGCGGAACCTCGCTTCATCCTTGGCCGTGTTTCCACCCTTCCTTGACCCTCAAAGGGTTGGAGAATCCAGGAGTTCCTCGCTTCCCCTAGACCCGCCCGCCCCCCCCATCTGGGTTCTTCGGACCGGCTTCATGCCGACGGCCTCTAGAGCTCCTCAAAAATCAACGGCGACCCCGCAAGGCTTGGAAGGCCCGCCAGACTCTCCGTTCACAGGCGTTCAGAAAGAACCTTTCGTCTCATATGAACCAAGTCTCAGGAGGTATGCAAGCCCTTTGGGCCTCGTGGTATTTGTGTTGTTTTGAATGTCGAATTCTGCATGTTCAATTTTCAATGTCGGGCTGATCATCTGCGGACGTGGGGCCCGAGGTGGCAACCAAATCTGTCTCAGCTGGTGTCGAGATATGGACATACAATAACTATCAATAACTGTTTATTGGTGCGCCTTGGATACCAACAGAAATACACATCAACATATATCATCCCAAAATATCACAAACATCTCCCCAAGTTTCACTCCAAATCAGTAGATGATATGCTGGAATGTCCCCAGGATATTTGGTATGTCATTGCTACTCATGCACAACAAAACCTCTGATCTCGTCCAATCTGCCTGCACCTTCCAAGATCCTCAAATTGGAACACTTGAAACATGATGCGATGAACAAGCGACCTGACATGCACCACCACCCAAATGTGTCCCAAACCAATGGGGAGGTTTTCTCCCCCTCTTCGCACACAGCTCCGCCACCACTGGATACCAACTCTAGAGACGTTTCACTGAAAAAAGCTATCCACTGACTGGGTAGGTACCGTTGACATCCGTTGACACGTTCCAATCCTCTTGATGCTGGGAGGAGTTCCAGTTGTTGAAGACCTTGGAGCTTAAAGCCAGCTTGAAAAAACAAAAGAAGAACACAAGGGACCATCTCCATCCGAGCTCTCCGAGCTCTCCCCATCATCCAGATCTTCCATCCGGTTATCATCCGACGAACCGAGAACGTTCGAAAACGTCGCTTCATCGCCAAAGCGCCTTGCAGCTCCTCTTCGTTTAAATATCCGGAGTTATCCAGATCTTTGGACCTCGCGGGTCCGGACCGGGGGGACACCGGACCCGCCAGGAACCAGGAAGCTGTCGGAACGTGCGGGGTTCCCGGTGTTGGACCTCATGTCGGGCGCTATAGCTGGACCTCATGGAAAGCTGGGTTTCAGTGTCCGTGGAACGATGTCTCTCCCTGTTTGCAACAGTTCAACCTGAATCCTGCTGAATCCTGCCTGCGTTGACAATCATTGACCATCACGTCCGTTTCTACTGCTCAATCTCCCCTCCCAAGAACCAAAAGTCAAAAGCCTTATGGCTCTCTTGGGATACCCTCCGTACCCCCCCCCAACACGCCCCAAAAGAAGATCACCGTGCTTGACTGTGTTGCCATCCACCGTGGCCCGCCCGACGTCCGACGTCCGCCGGGGCCGGACATGAAGATTTCGGAGGCGCGGCGGCTCACCTCTGGCTGCCTTGGACGTCGAGTGGTGAAACCGGGGTCAAGTGGGGAAACGGCACGAGGGGCGGGAGGAGGGCCGGCAGGGGCATGGTATTTTTCCGGACACACGCAAGAGGAAGCCATGATGGGTGGAGAACTCATCATTCACAAGAGGAAGCTTGAAGACTAGAATGGATAGGGAGTTAGATGAATTTAGGGATTGGGACAACTATGAAACTAGTCATCGGGGATTGTGCTTGTTCATCGTCTTTGGGCAAGTATTCTCCCTGGACTAAACACAGTTGAGGAAGAAGTTGGGATGGTCAATGAAAGGTCCAGCATGGCCATTGAAAGTGGAAGTGAGATTAAGTGACTTGCAAAGAGGATCATCTGACTTGCAGCAGGCCATTGTCTTGCTTGGACTGTATGCCCCTTCCTTGCAGACTCTTGCTCTTGCTCTAGCTTGGCACCAAGGGATTGGTCAAAACTTGGAGCCCTGGTCCCCCATGCAGCGGTATCCTGGTGTGACCAGAGGCCACGGTCGGGAGTCCACCTCTCGGTGCCGGAAACCAGACATCGCCGAGGCACTGAAAATGAGACGCCATCAGAAGGACAGCCTGCAGCGGATGCTAGCAAACGCAGGGCCTACAAAAATAGGGGGGGCTTGAATCGACTAGGCTGCCTAGGATGACTGTTGGATGAGTGGATCGTGCAAGCGCGCCACTAGGGCATCTCATGTGAAAATGAACTTGGATGCTTGGAAGGTATTCCAAGTTTGAGTTACGATGCATGGACCTATTCTTTTGGCAAGGAGTCCTCCAAGTCCCCAACTCCCGGTCAAACCTTCCGACACCATTCAGTAGTCGAGACCCCCGCCACCCCCGGTTCCAAGCTTCCAACCAGCCGCTGTTGGAGGTGCACTGGATCTTCCTTTTTGATACTGAGACCGGAGTCCCCCTCCTTCCTACGGTGACCTTTTTCCTGGTTGGACTCCAGGTGTTCGGCTTTTGATCCATCCCCACCTTGTCAAAGAAGGCCAGGTCCTTGTAGGAGCCCAGGCTGTGCCGGAGCAGCTTACGATCCTGGTGACCCCCACGCCGTGATGCGCGACCAGCGCAGAAAGCGCGTGGCGAGCCGGGCCGAGCGGAGAAAGCGAGTCTCTTCGTTGGCCCCCGCGCCATCCGGTTGGGAATGGTTCCGGCAGTGCTGTCTTGGAGCGGCCAATTGGTGCGCAGATGTTGTGCGCTTGATGGGGAGGATTCCCTTATCACGGGGGCGGAGACGATGTAGAGAGAAAAACCCGTGGTCGAGTCCAGCGAAAAGACCACTTCAAGCAGCAAAAAAAACCTGGAATGAAATCAGATGCCGACAGTGAACCATGAATGGAGGCAAAGAATTCACTGCATGAGCGCAACAATACACATATCAGGTGGCAACACTCACCTCGATGTGTCTCGAAGAAGAGCAGCCTCAGAAGTATTCTCTGTCAATTGGACCGGATGGCCCAGAGATGGAGATGTATGGCCCATCTTAATTAAAACCATGTCATTTGCTTAACATCTTAAGTCTGAAAACATCTGAAAAACCATTCCGTTTGATTCATGAACAGTCTCAGCAACCCTTCTCATTCCACCTTGCTCCCCGCCGAATCCGCCGAATCGAGCGACTCGCCCCACGGCGTCCTGTCGCGACATCCGCCGCGTCTCGCTCTCGCGCACGCTCCGGGGCCTGGAGACGACGGTGCGAGACTCGCCGGGAAATGGTGCTGTGGAGAGGATCCCAGAAATCCAGCAGAAATAAGAGCCATGGCCTTGGCCTCCAACCTAAGAGCGATGGCCTGCAACCCAAGAGCGATGGCCTCCAACCTAGAAGGGGGGGCATCAATGCACCAAGAAAAAGAGTAGTGATGGTTCCTCCACAGTTCTTTGGCATTTTTTCAGTCACTACCGGCCCGAAGCGGAGTGGTGATTGGATGGAAAAAATTCAAGACCTCGTCCGGGGGATGGTGGATGGTTCCAGAATCTCCAAAGCATGGTGCATGAAGAGCCCACTGAAGAGCCCCTCTCTGAATCTTCACCTGGCTAGCCACCGACAAACGGCCAGGGGGAACAAAGAGTCGGCAGCTCATCTGGTTCCAAGAGTCTTTCCAGCAGCTTTCACCGATCTTTAAAGCTTCCACCCACCCACTTCTGGCTTTTGCTGCAACTTTGATGGACCAGTTGAGCAAAACTAGTTGAGTAAGTTGAGTATCATCTACCAGAGACCCCTGCCCCCCAAACACAGATCATCCATTGATCTCTCTCACTACTCAGTTCAACTTTCCGCCAGGAACCCTCGCGGCACGCGAGTGCCGATTTCCCCGCTGTCCCCGTGCGACCCGACCGCAGCCAAGGCTTTTGCAGCGCTTCCTGGCTGCGGACGGCAGGTGTAGGTTCCCCAAGCAGCGCCATGGGTTGGTGGGCCTTATGGGTTGCGATGGCAAAATGCACCTGACTCGAGCACGTTGGCATAAGCTCTTGCTGACCCCGTCTTGGGCATGCCAAGTAGAACTTGACGTCTGGGGCCACAAACAGGAATCCAGGAGAGTCTTGGAAAATCTGTCCAACACCAAGCAGATCACCGCTGGGATTGAAACTCTCGCACACCCACTGCCACCTACCTGCCCTTCGCACAACTGATGTCCACTACATCAGAGACGTCTGTCCAAGCTCTCCACCACCTCACCTTCAACATGGCCCCCTACCAGCCCTACCAACTGCGATCAAACCCAAAAAGCGAAGCCTTGCCCCCCAAGCGCCACCCCAAAGCATTGCCGCCACCACCGAACACCGCGGCCAACCGCGGAGGAAGGAGTCCGAACGGGCGCGGCGGCGCGTTGGACGGCCTGCGCACTGAGGCGTTGGGCGGGGTCACGCACCAGAAGTCCTGAGACCTGGAGGCGGCCGACGACGCCCGCGTGGCCGGGCCAAGGGGATGGTCAAGCAGGGCCACCTGGACGCGTTCGCAGAGGTAGAGCAACAGGCAGAACCCAAAATGAATGAAGGCAGAAACTCAATGTCAAGAGTCAAGAGCTTCCAGAAGCCCAAAAAGCCATGAAGCCATCAAAAGACCAGATGGGATACTGTAGGGTCTGAAATCCCACCCAAAAACCCAGCAAAACTCGGCGATCGATCTGAAACACTCTGAAGCCAACGCCAAGTTTTCCACCCTGGTCGACCAACTGAATCCTTCCACCCATCACCGACATCGGGTTAAACAGATGGTCCAGAAAACCAGCAAACTGCTTAGCAATCGTTTGTCCACCCAGAGAACGCCCAAGACGTCTCCCCACCAGGTGGGCTTTTAGGAGTTCTTTGGCCGAAGTCGATATGGGAAACTGGCTCCAGACCATACCTGGTGTCGATCTGGTCAAACGCATGGTGGATCTGGTCTCGCTGGGTCATGCTGGGTCATGGTACCGGGTGACCCTTTTTCGAATCGACCACCAGACCAACGGTCAATCTACCAGCTTCAGTCGGGCTCCAGGATCTTGACTCATATCCACATGGTGAGGTTGAAACGACCCTGAGGCCGATCGCCACGAACTCGTTGCTCGCCACGCGCGAGTTCCTCGTTGCGAGTTCCTCGTTCGTCCGCCGTCCGCGGATTCGCTCGAGCGATCGTCGAGGCACCAGATCTCGACCCTTGGCATCTGAGAGATCCTGAAGGGTCGAAGGGTCGGTCGGTTTGGGTCGGTCGAAGGGTCGGTCGAAGGGTCGGTTTAGGTCGAAGGGTCGGTTTTTCTGGTCGGTTTGGGTTGAAAGGGTCCCAAGAGTCCCACAATCATCAGACATTGATGATGGACGGAACACCCCATTTGTTTGGTTGGACACCGCAGTCGGCGCCGCTGGTTTTTTCACGGGTCTCCTGGTGCAGAAAAGGGCATGAGCGGAGAGCGTATGACTTTCGGGAGGTGTGGAGAGCTGCAAATGATCAAGCTGATGCCAACCTTCAGAAGCCCAAGCAGGCAGACCGCATTGTTCTTGGGCATTGCTTTTGGATCTTTGTTGGGCGTATTCAAAATAAGTTCCAGCGTCGGAGTACTGGAATAGAAAGAACCTACCCAAACATGATCGCCATAATGGCCTAGTGGGACCATGGTTCACAGCCACGGTCATCCAGAGTTGCAGCACCAAATTCAATTCACCTCCATCACCACGGTTTTTAGCGGGTAGAAGTGAGCTACAGCCCACTGCCAGCACAACCTCCACCAACACACCTCTTTTGCAGTTGGATGCACGTTTCAGCCCCACGAGTTTCTCCCCTCCTCGAGGACGGGGTCTTCCAAACGCAAGCGCGCCAGCCTAGGGATCTGTGAAGTGGATCGTGGTACTCGGAAGACAAGGATTGGATCTCCACACGAGCATCGAAATCGGCGAAATCCGATGAATTCCCATGAAACTCTTATAAACCATGAAACTCTTATAAACCATAAACCAGTCTGAGGCTTTTTCCGTTAACAGGATGTTCTCGAACCCCACAGCAAGTGATCATCGATCTTACTCCAGCTCCGGGCATCCCGCAGTTTGGGTTCCTTCAACAGCTTGCCCTGCCCTGTCGCGGTCCCTTCGGTGTCACTTGAGGCGCAAACAGTTGGCGGTTGCTCAAGTTGAAGGTCGAGGCCCGACTCTGAAGGTCGTACGGGTGCTGGCCCTGAGCGACACGGCTCGATGGGGTGGACCTGCGATGCCAGTGGAATCGCAGCCTCCACCCAGAAGCACCAGCAACTTCTTCCAAAAACATCCCATGAATTCCATACATAAGGCTCTCCTGCCACTGTGTGTCTTTTCTTTCCAGTCCCCTCTTTGTCAACACCTACCGTTCTCTGGAAGCGGTTTTTTGGCGCGCAACAACTCCATGCTCATCCCTTTCACATCCCCAACTCCAGACGCGGCCTCTGTGAGCTGCATGAAGACCATGATGCCAAAGGACCTTCACTTCGCGAGGCTCGAGAAGGGCGACGAAGACGAGGGAACCGACCGGTTTCCGCCAAGAAGGCCACCGGTTTTCCAACTTCTGAAGTGGGGGTTGATGATGTCAGTGGCGTGTTCATCGGAAAGACAAACATAAAAATAAGCGTGCGCGAAGTGGAGTTTGCCACACCAGACTTACAAAGCTGCCGGTAGATCATACACCGAGGAACCCTATGATTTGACTTGTGTCTTGTGCATGGATTCTCTGACACGAACCTTAAGCGTTCGCATGGAGCTTTTGCACATGGACACTTACGACAAGCCGAGGAAAGGCTTCCAAACCGGCTGTCCACGGCTCTTAAAAACGTGTGGGGGGGAGGGGCGTTGCATGCGTTGGCGCTTCTAGTAGAACCAGTCCGAAGCACAACACATGTCCTTATTGGCCAAATGGATGGTCATGGATGGTCATGGATAGTCATGGATGGTCATGGATCGTCATCCGTCCTCTCTCCTAGTAACAAGGGCATTACTACTAGTAGCAAGAAGCTACTAGTAACAAAGGGCATTGCTAGGAACAAGTGCATTTCTACTAGTTGCAAGTGCTCTAGTAACAAGAAGCTACTAGTAACAACAAGGGCATGTCCTTTTCCAGATCCACCATGAATCGTTCCATCTCACTGGGGGCCCACGACCAGCAGTCGCATTTCTCATTGTAGCTCTGCTCGACCACCTGGAATCCAGAAGCCGGAGAAACCTATTAGTAACAAGTGCATTGCTACTAGGAACAGGTGCATCACTATTAGTAATAGGTGCATCGCCACTAGTAGCTTCTTGTTACTAGTAGTAATGCACTTGTTACTAGTAGCGATGCACTTGTTACAAACAAAACGGGAGTATGATTCTATGATCGGAAGAAAGGCCCAGGATGTTCTAGGTGCGGATTCCTGGCCCACCATTAGTTGAATAGGCTGAAATCCCAAACAACCATGCTTTTATGACGAGTTGTCCACCACAAACCGGGTCAACCCTTTGTTTGATGGTCGAACGGAAGTCTGACGGGGCGGGTGGACGGTCTTGGAATAGGTATACTTGAAGACCTCTATAGGCCTCTAGGAAGAAATCACAACACGAAATCCATTCGTTGGTCGAACGGAAGAATCCGTTCGTTGGGAGGTGCCAGTGGACGCCAGTCCACTAGAAAGGCCTCAAAGGACACAGGAGGTGAGAAAACACTGGGGACCTACCTAGGGAGGTTGAACAGCCCTATTTTTCGCCCATCCCATATGTACTACCACAGGGTCCTAGTTCAGGTCATCCAACACTTTTTCAACCTCTCTTGGTACCACCTGTAAACTGGCCGTTTCAAATTCGAAACACACGGAAAGAAAAAATCCCTTCACGGCTCCGTTCACGGCCCGGTCGACGAGTTCGGCCAGTTCTTCGAGCGAAGATGTTTCCATGGAGTTCATCAGCTGCTCAGCTCTTCGAGCGTGCGAAGACATGAGGACATGGCACTTCCGTTTGGTCTCCCCGGCTTCAAACCGATGCCGCCGATGCCTACACCGGGGATCTCCGCCGCCTGGAGACCCAACACAGATCCCGGGCCAGCGGGCCAACGAGCGGCCTCAGGTGCCACGAAGGCCAAGGTGCCCAGAACCTCCGTGGGAACCGGCGAAGGAAAAGAAGCACCAAACCCTACTCTCTTGCCCTGTGTCTGTTGAATTAAGGGAGACTGTGTGTTTCCTGTGTTCCTGTTCCTCCGTGTGTTGACCTGATCCTTAAATTGTAGGTCACTCACTAACATGGAAGTGAACATCTTGCCTTTGCGAAGAGGATTTTGCGCTATGTGAGTGAGTCGGAGTGTACCTCAGAAATCACTGGAGTTGATCATAGAAACACTACGAACACAAGGTTTTCAGGACCAAGTTTGGACCTGGGTGAGACTAGACCTGTTGGGGGGAATGGTAAAGAATGTTACACTTTCGGACGAACACATTACATGGAAGTGGATGGCATGGCCGCATGGCCACTGCGAAGACAGTGTTCAGAAAACCAAACAGGTGGTGCCATCCACTTCCATGTTCGTGAGTCAGAGGGTATATGTTCATCGGATGTTTTTCATTGTAAGAATGCATTGGAACCAGCTGCTTTGCCAAAAAGCTAACAAGATCCTTGATTGCACCACTTGTAGGTCCCTGTTGGGCAACTCGACAGGAAGGGCTCTGAAACAAGAACCCAAAAAATGCTCAGCAAGAAGAACAGGTTCAGACCCGACCACAGGTTATATAGTCAGCAGGGGCGCCGAGAGTGTGTCACCTGCCAAATACCGATTGTCATCTTCGCAACGGCAACATTGAGAATAACATCCTTGTGCGCCAGACTGATTCGCAGTCAAAGGACTCCTTGCGCAAGGCAGGAGGCCTGCTCGGTCCCTCCTTACAAGACCAAGCACTGTTTTGTTAATGTTCTTCCACAAATCCCGAACTCCTTGTACTGCACAAAGCCCAGAAAAAATCCTCAGATCCCCAAAATCTCTCTCCCAACCCAAAAGCTTTTGCCCATTTCTTCACCCGACCCCTCTCCACCCTCCTATCCCAGATCCCATCAGCCTCGCTCATCCACTCCTCTGCCTCATCCTCCTGACGGCGAATGGCACCCAAGCCAAAGTCGATGATCTTTGCCAGGTCCCGCTTGCCGTTGAAGGTCAACACCTCGTTGAAAAACACAAGAGGTTTCTCCACACAAAAAAGTTGGTGTGTATCATTCAGGAAAAAGAACTCCTTCTTGGATTCTCAAGTTGACTGGTTGATGAATGAACAAGAACCACATCTCTGTATGAAGAGGCTTGATTCATCAACACTCAACATGATCGTCATCGAGAAGAAGCCCACCGACCCATCCAACTCTGCCTATCGGAAATCGGATCGCATGTAGCTGGTGCAGCACCTATATGAGCCTTCGAGCAGCACCTGTTGTGTTTCAGGTTTTAGTGGATGATGATGGTTAAGTTGCAGACCATTCCCCAAAATATATACATTTTGAGGGGACACCCCTAGGCATATATAAATAGATCTCATGCTCATCCTCCAATTCTGGGTCCGTCCCTCTTCCGTCTGAGCTGGTGCTTGGTGACGGCACTAGACCGTCTACGACGGTCGTGTCTGTCTCTCCTCCACGGCGCGCAGTTCGAAGGCTTCAAATCTCGGTGGGCGATGCCGAAGCTGTGCAAGTAGGCCAAGCCCAGCATCACGTCCCGGAACCTTCGGTCGGTCAAGGTCGCGGTCACTCCGCTTGGAATGGCGAACCAAAGAGCTCAAGAGTCGCTGGAATCTCTTGTTGTTCGTTTTGTTCGTTTCAAGAGTCTCTAGAGCTTACACGTTTGTGTCCTTTTGTTGTTCGTTTCCAAATGACTCCTGAGCTATACCGGGCTTGATCATAGTATACACGACGACGACTCAATGAGGTTGTCAGGACTTGTCAGTTTTGGGACCGTCGGACCCTTAGGGATGCAAATTGGCCACCTGGTTGGTACATGATGGTCCGGTGCTCCACATTTGAGTGAACGGATTTAGAGATGATTTACGCCCTGGAAGACCAAGATGGAACCTGAAAACCACTGGTTTGTAAAGGAAGCTCGTCTTCCTTGCAGGTGCATTTTCAGGTTGTGGGTCCCTTCCCGGCTCAATTTAGGCTTTAGGATCGAAGAACACGCAGAAAAAAGAAGAACCGTCGCCCCACTCAGCTTCAGGCAGGACTCGCACCGTATCCTGAACCCGCAGCACTCGCAGCTTCGGGGCCCAACAGATCTGATGAGGTACACTGGAACTCATCGAAGTGGAAGGATGGGACCCCTTGGACCATTTTTCTCTACAAACAGGTGGTGAACTCCACGCTTTTCTTTCAGTGATCTGATGAGGTCTCACCCACCAGTTCCACTGAAGGTCCGTTGAACATGTTGAACATGGAAATCGCTGGCCAAAAAAGCCTTGGAAATTCGCTTTCGGACATAGGCCTAATTCTGAATAATGTCAAGAACCTTATAAACTGACGAGTTGCACATGATTTGTGGGAAGAACCTTACCTCATGCATGCAAATCCATTCAAAATGGCGAGTTGTTTGCTCTCTGTTGACGTGTTCATGCAAATGGTCCCGCAAAAAGGCCAAACTCGGCCAAACCGACTGATCCGATTGTACACGTGTCATCACCGACTGATCCGATCGATGGCGTCCGGATATTGGTGTCAGTTGACTGGTCAAAGACGAAAAGCCGGCAGACCACCTGTACCATGAGGCTTTAAAACCACATGTGCCAAAGGTGAAGGTCCCAAAAAACAGAATTCGAATAGATAGTGAGCCTTCCTTCTACTTGCTACCATGGGTTACCACGGGTCATCTGTTTCGAAGGCAAAGAATGCATACTCAGTGGATCGTCAGTGATGCCAGCTGTAATTTTCAGACTCCACCCACTGATGGATTCTTTCATGTTGGTCATCTCGGGTAGCCTGGTAGCTTTGCGAAGATGATGGATGGTTGCGAAGCATCTGATCTTGTCCATCTCTTCTCCTTCCAATCCTCGCCTTGCTTTTCCCCTCCAGGGAGGAGCAGAAGTCTCCGGAGCGGCACAGCTCAACCTAGTCGTGTTCGGCTCCCCAACCTGTGTGTAGTCTACTGTGTAGTCTACCGTGTAGTGATTAACGTCGCGAAAAAGATCCAATTCTACCAGCACCCATGGCAGGGGAGGTTCGACACCCCCAAGAACCTCCAAGGATCTATTTCACATAGAGACCCAAAAGAAAGACCTGGTGCCAGCACCCGGCAGCAGCTCCAGAGATGAGTCTTGACGTGAAGTCATGAAGTTTTAGGGGAAGAGGTTTATTTGAAAGTCCGGGGTTCAATCTTAGATCGAGCAAACGGAGACTTGCGTAGTCCATATGCAACGTGGTCGCTGGACACATCCGTTGTAGATGATGACAACCGTCCGGAGTGCTCTGAGCACTCCTTTTCATCTCCGGTTCAGAGTTCAGATGTTGTGATGCAGCTAGGATGATTTACAACTAAAACAGGTGGAATGCAACCATGTAGCCCCACAACAAGCCTCAACCCTGGAACATTAGACAACAAGACCTTCCTTCGCCACATGGCAAGAAGCTTCAGAAGGAAACCCATCCGAAATGACGAAGTTGCTGGGAACCCCCTTCAATCCATACGCAGCAGGTGCCCGCTGGGCTGCCCGCACCACACAGAGCACGCTTCGACGATCCTCAAAGAACCTGATCCACGCTTCGACGAGTTCGGGCGAAGACTGAAAACTGGGGGGGTCCTGCGGGTCTGCAATGACTTGGAGACTCCTGATGGTTGATGTGGACCACCTGTTACGTTTTCACGACCCATGGCAGGTGGTTTTCACTTCGCCCGAAAAAGCTGGCTCCACCCGAAAATGCCTCGGGTTCCCCGTGTAAAGCCTCACGCTTTGGTCGTCTCTGTGCCGTGAACCGCCGTGCCGCGCTCGGTTTTCGCCCGAGGCACTCGTAGAATTTCACCACGTTGGGATGGTCCAGCCTTGGCCACGCACGCGCGTCCGACCGGCGCACGCGTACGACCGAGAGAGCTGGTCCGGTGGGGTGCGCTCGGGAGGGGGGCCTCCGCTTCGCGTCGGGCCGTCCCCTCCGTGCCAGCCGCGGAAGTCTGCTTGAAGTGCGTCCCGCAATGCTCGGATCACCGGTTGCCCGGATCACAGTTGCCTTCGCACGGCTCTTTCTTCGCACGGCTTTCCAAGGTTCCAGCATCTCCACCGACAGAACTTGGAGTCACCGAACTGGCCGGCACTAGCGTGACTGGCAGTCCCCTCTGAGACCCAAACGCCGGAGTCAAAGTGAGCTCTACTGCCTTGCTATACTCTTACACCTCTCTTACCAAGCCAGAATGGGTCCAAAGGACACGGATGAAGAACAAAAAGCCCCCTGAGATGTCGAGCATCTCGCCCAGCACGTGCCTTCTCTTTTTCCATGTATTCTTCGCTCTTCCTTGGGCTCCCGTTCGGTCGCCAGTCGCCTTCCGGGCGCCTTCTGGGCAGTTGATCCCTCAGATGAAAATAAATGCGTTTGCGGCGGTGCCTGTGAGGACAACAAAATCTTCGAGGGTGGCACTGTGTCGGAGGTTCGCTAGCCCTGCAGGTTCTATCACTGGGCGGTGATAGAAGAAGGAATACCAATAGGTGGCATAGTGCGCTCTGCCGGCTCCTTGGGCCTTTTGGGCCTTGGGTGCTGACCTGCCGCATCTGAAGAAAACCCTTCCAGGTCTGAGCAAGCATCTGAAAAGACGGAGAAGCATGTGGGCGTTGGTCGATGTTTCTTCCAGGCGGTCTTTGAGAGGTCTCCATCTCTTAAAATACACACCAAGTGGTAGCTAACCCTCTAAGCCACCCCACTTCGTAAGGATCTCAATCTCATTCGCAATGGCCGCTCCGTCGTCCTCCGAAAGTTGGCTCTTTGGAAGCAAAGCAAACGTGGGGCAACGGCTTAATGGCTTACAAGGTGTCATTACGCGGGTGGGTTAAAACAGGGGAGACCCTGGTTGACCACCGAATCATGAACAATGCCTCTTTTTGAGGGATGTCAACGTTCCATCGATTGGTTGGGGAGGTTTTGACCCACACTCATGAGGGAGTGAGGTGTCATGATCCAAATACGCCTGGGCAGGGCCTATTCGGGTATGTTCGGGTCAGCTGTAAATTCTTCAGGTCATCCAACTGTTTCTGTGTTGGCATAGCCTGGCTCTCACGTTGAATGAAACACATCATTCTCGTCGTCCGAGGGAGATGCCTTATGAAAATCATTCGACTGCAGCGCCAGGAGATCTGCGATGCTTCAGCACCCGAAGGTGTATGACACATTCTGAAACGGCCACCAAGTGACTCCCCTCTGCAAAAAAAAGCGGACAAGCACTCTACGTATGACATCAGTTCTGGCATATCGAATTATCTTAAGCCCAAGCTTTGTGGCGCCAGTTGCTAGCTCCACTTCCTCTTTTTTTCCAAGCCCTGTCTGCGCCTCGCGCGCCAGCAAACTCATTTGGGGCGCATGACGGGCGTAGCGACGATTTGAAAAGGTTCCGATCGCGTCCTTCATGCGGCTCTTCAGCAGCAGCTTGACCGCTCGCGCCTCACTGTGGGAGCAGCTTCGCAGCAGCTTGACACGGCTTCGTCATTCGGACGACGTCAGAAGGCGAGATGTGGGGCGGAAAGGGTGGATTTTGATGGAGGAAGGATGGTCGCAGGAGGATGGAGGTGGTCGGAGGAGGATGGTGGTTTTTCAGGCTTCCTGATCTTCCTGGAAACCCAAACAACCAGCGAAATTAATGGATGTTTCCACAAGCAACCACTTGCTATGTAAAGGATCTCAATTGCCATACTGGAACATCCAGTTGTTTCTGGTTGTTTGGGGTTCCAGGCTGCTTCCTCTTCGAGTCGTTGGTGGAGTATTCTTGGGATCAAAAGAAGTCTCTCCATCACCTGGAACAGCAAAAATGACTGAGGGCTCATTGCCACAAGGACCAGGGGCTGAATCAATGAGGTCTATCAGAGTCCATTACCACTGCTACTACTAGCACCTGTGATTGGTATTACTATATGATCGCTCTTGTTTACTTCTACCCCAATGATCTACAATACATTAATATACCAAAAGAACTAACCCCCCGTCAAAACGCTTGGTCCCAAAACCATCCTCCAAAACGCTCCGCAGAGACCGTGCGGAGACCTCACCTCTTGGGTGGCACGAACTTCGCACTCGTGCCTCGGACGTGACGTCGTTTCGCAGGGCGCACGGTCGGTGCAAAACAAAGGCGACTGGTTGCTTGGACTGCTATTCCTCTTGGAGGGTTAGATGAGAGGTTATTAGATTGGACGAGGTTACAACTATTCCTATTATTCTTTATAGATCTTTATAGCAGTATATCCTTTGTAGGTGACTTAGACTGCTATAGCCCTAGCTAAAAAAGCAAGTTTGATTTGATATGTGGCTCTCGACAGCAAACTCGGAATCTTTATGAATCTTTGGAAAATAACCGATAACGGGGCAGCATGAACATCACTTCCAGGATAGATGTTTCTGGCAGCTGGGCGGCTGGGCTATTCCCCTATCAATTCAGATCAGAAATCCTTTCAATGAACAGATCTAAATCATTGACGCGAGGCGATCATTGCCTTTTCTGCAGCGCTTTTGCCGATGGTTGCGGTGTAGCCGCGTTGAAACGCCGCATGCTGAACTGGCCATTCTGCGCTTACAGTAAATCTATTGCCCCAAAAGCCCAAGCTTTGATTGCACTGCGAGAGTAAGGACTGTCCATGGCAAACCACTCGAAGGGCGCCCGCATGCAACAACCCATGCAAAAACCCACGTAGATCCAGCAAAATCACGCAATGCAAACAAACGTGGTGGCCGAAGAACTACACACGACGGTGGACGGTGGACGCCAACAAAAGTTATATATATATATATACTTCAATATACTTCACCTATAGTGGTTGGGGGGTTCCTCTCCAAATGTGCCCAAGAGGGTCTAAAAGAGCAATGTTGCAGGGTCTTCTCCGTCTCTGCAACCGAGCCGAATCACGTTGAATAGCCAGTCTTATATATTCTTCGCACTCGGCACTCGCTGTGCGAAATCGCTGTCGGTGCAGATGCGGATGGGCGGTCAGCGGTCAGCGGCGTCTGCCTTTGGCCCCTGGAAGACCATGTTCCCGAACACTAAACAGGGGGGTGCCAGCGACTTCCAGAGACTCTTGGGAGGGAGGCTATCTTAGTTCAAGGTCTACACAAGCAGAAAAGAACATATCAAATTCAACATGGAACCTGTACCTGTCGACGATGGAACCTAAACCGACATCACCAAATATGCAAACGATGGAAGGGAAAATAGACCGTCGCCCTCGCCTGCGAAACGAGGGGCTCCGCCGGGCTCTGCCCTTGTTGATCAGCTCCAGTCACTTGCTGATCAGTTCCAGTCACTACTTCCACCGGGCTCATTGAGGCCAACAACCGGTGTGGAGGCGTTCGCCTCCAGCGGTTCAAGCCCTAACGGGAGATCCTCAGTGTCTGATAAGCCTGGTCTGCCCAGCCCATTTTAGTCCAATACCACTATATGTTGCTTCCTGAACTCGGGTCACCGGTCGTCAGACGTTTTCTTGCTCTTGGACTTTCAGGGGCCACTTGTCAAAACCAAAGGACCCCAGGTGGCATGGTGTCAGTTCCATCCACCCAGGTGGTTCACCGAATGGCCTAAACAAAGAACAGCGCTCCAACGGTCGATTTTCAGTGCGTTGTCCCAGCGCTTAGGACGGTCGCCGTGGCAGGACGTCGGCGTGGCGGACGTCACGTCTACTGGTTCGATGCTGCACTGCGGTGCTACGAAGTCGGCCATGAATCACCCGTCCACCCCCCCTCCTCCCTCTTTTTTTGGAGCGTCAACGATCCGAATGAATTGGTTTGGTCGTTTCTCAAACCGTCTAGCAGCCGTCTACACCGGAAGCATCTTCCACCGAAGCATCCCGCCACCGGTGGTTAAGCCGTCCTGGCCGAAGTGGATCGCCCATCCACCGATTTGAAAAAGGGAAGGGTCCGAATGTCGCTGTCGCCACCGGGCGACAGGAGATGCCGGGTTGTCGCCTGCCGAAGTCGCCAAATAACACACGTCAACCTCTTCGGTGCCTGAAACTTGGAGAGATTCCCTAGCAGTTTAATGTATAGACAGAAGAAATACAGTCACACCCCGTCACACCCCACCGTTTGATTGTAAAACCTGGGGTGTTATGAATCAATAAGTCTACATTAGTGCATGTCATGGCTTCTAAAAGGTTTCATCGGCTGTCAATGACCTCTTCACTTGCTACTGCAACAGCTCACCTCACAACCATCTCCGTCTGCGGTCGCTTGTCATGTCACTGCGCCGGATAAAGCGGCTGGACGCTCCGTGGAGCTTGGCTGAGAAGATTGCAGGGCATGTGCCCCGCTTTTTGTTCGGCGATGGGCCGAGGGATGGGCTAAGCGAACGCAGTTCCAGGTGGTGAAAACAAAAGAAATCAAGTCAAGGGCTCCTGGGTTCAACCAACAGCCTCATTAAGCACTTGGCCCATCCTCTGTTGTGAAGAACCATTGGGGTCTACATCTATTGTAAAGGTCTATTGGAAAGATCAGATTGGCTGAGCGCGGAAAGCAAGTCTTTCGGCTTCTCACAGGAGTAAGGGTTCGATGCTTTGACCAAGAATCCTCGCAGCTGGACCCAAGTAATTCCTTCATACCGCAAGCACCATCAAGGCCTCAAGATCCTCATTTTTGAATCCCAAAAACCCTACAATCAACCGCCATTTAATGACCATGAATCAAGGCCCGCATGGCGAAAAACACTACAATCCAACCCAAGTTGGAATTGAAGTACATCTTGGAGGCGAACCCTCAGGATTTGAAACCCTCTTGGACCGCTCTCCACGCGAAGAAGTGGACCGGTGCCGGAATCGACAGCACCGGCCCTGGGGGGAAAGAGGAAGGGAGAAGAGTCAAACCGTCGGAGTCGGCTCCCCCCCGGTCGCAGCGTTTCACGAGCAGATCACCCCTGCGAACCGCGGAGATGGGTCAGTTGGATCTTTTTCGTGGTGTTGGTGGGCGGTCGGGAGACAGCATGAAACGGCCGAACATCACGATGTTGGGTCGGGTTGGAAAATAAAAGACTCGGGAGGGGGGTCCTTTGGAAGCTATAGATGAAGTTCATCATCCAGGAGGCATTCTCAGAGGGGGAGCAAACCACAAGGTGACAAGCAAAAGCCGCGACGACGGAGCCGTGGGGAGAGTTGCTCAAACCCCCCAAAACAGAAGGCGCTAGTTAGAATCACACTCAACATGAACAGTTGACACGAGACTCGTCCTCTGCTAACACATGGAAGTCAGCTTCTCACGGCTCCATCTGCGGCAGCAGAGCAGTAGAACAACGCTCTCGGTGAGGGACTTAGCCCAGGTTCCGCCCCCGGTGACACGGGTGGATTTGAGGTGGATTCAGCTGTCCGCGCCGTGGACCCGCGCCGTCGGTCCGTCGACTCCGTCGGTGAGAGACTCAGCGTTCATCTTGATGACTGGGAGCTCCTGCCACTGCGCTCGTCCGGGCGGCTTGCCACTGCGGTCTACCCAAGTGATGGGAAGAGGTTCAATCCGTATGAGTACAAAAACACCGTTCAATCCATTTCAATCCCTGCATCTGAGAGATTGCAAGACCAATCCAATCGTTTGCAAGCTTTCAGACAGAAACCAAAAAAAGAGATGACTTGGATCATCCTTCGTCATACTACCGCCTCTTTCAACAGAAAATCCGCGAACTCGGATTTGTGTCACTTGCAAAGTTACCTGCCAGCTTTTCTGCGGGAGGCTATTTGGTTGCTCTTTATATTCGGACATGGTTTTTTTTCCGCACTGCTTGGGTTCTATTTCCACCTTGTCACGCATGGGTTTTTTTTAAACCCTGTGCACGGTTCTTTTCTCACCCTGTACAGGGTTCCTTTTCCACCCTGTGCAGGGTTCCTTTTCCACCCTGTGCAGGGTTCCTTTTCCACCCTGTGCACGGTTCCTTTTCCACCCTGTGCAGGGTTCCTTTTCCACACTGCGCAGGCACCCTGTGCAGGGTTCTCCCTGTGCAGGGTTCCTTTTCCACCCTGTGCAGGATTCCTTTTCAGGGTTCCTTTTCCACTCTGTGCAGGGATCCTTTTCCACCCTGTGCAGGGTTCTTTTTCCACCCTGTGCAGGGTTCTTTTTCCACCCTGTGCACGGTTCTTTTTCCACCCTGTGCAGGATTCCTTTTCAGGGTTCCTTTTCCACTCTGTGCAGGGATCCTTTTCCACCCTGTGCAGGGTTCCTTTTCCACCCTGTGCAGGGTTCTTTTTCCACCTGCGCAGGCTTCGTTTTCCACACTGTGCAGGCACCCGTTTTCCACTCTGTGCAGGGATCCTTTTCCACCCTGTGCAGGGTTCTTTTTCCACCCTGGCAGGGTTCCTTTTCCACCCTGTGCAGAATTCTTTGTCCACCCTGTGCAGGGTTCCTTTTTGACCTGTTTTCGGGTTCTTCTTTGACTCGTTTTAGGACTCTTTCGTTTTAAGGTTTTTTTGCAGCATTCGGTATGCTTTTGGGGTTCTTGTTTGACATGTTTTGAAAGTCTGTTGGTCCGTCTTCGACCCGTCTGAGAAAATCATTCCCTTAACCTCGTCGCTCTCTTCTAGGAAGCTGTACCACAAAAATGGCTCCACCTTTTTTTGTGTAACTCAAAAGATTCGACCTCCAGTTGACACATTAGAAATGAGTGGTGCACACTTCCTCATTAGGTGGGCATCTTTCTGTGTGCGTTGGTGCATAACCCGGATTCTTTTTGCAGCGCGGAACAGCATGGAGAGCAAATACCAGCGAGCCCGCTCGTCAAGTGGGCATGAGGGCAAGCTGAACATAAGCCTGGTGGCTTCACACTGCACCGCCCAGGGAAAAGACCGGATGCAGACCTCCACGTTGGCACCATCTATCTGCATATGTCGTGAGGAACCAACGCGCTACTTCGGTCGCATTCACAGCTGCCGGCAACATCATGCACGATGCTGGACTTATGGGCATGAAAGCACTGCTGCCATTGGAGATGATGTGAAACCAACCATGCAAAGCCTCCAAGTCCGAACTCCGTGACCCCTCGGTCACCACGGGCACCTGCGCGCCACCCTGCACATCCTGCTCCACGCTCTTACCTGCGACTCTGCACGGCAGCGTTTCCT